TTTTGTTACAGTAAAAAGCTCTCACAAACAATCACATCTAATTTTTTTACTACAATAAAAAGCTCTCACATAAAATCACATCTCAACTCGAATTAAAAACTCGAATCAGTGAACTAAACGGACCCGAGTTTATGTATTCAGAATTATAATTTAAAATTATTTTTAATTTATGTGTATTTTTTATGAAAAAATACATATAAATTAAAAATAATTCTAATCTTATAGTTCTAATCCATAAACTAAACTGACTCTTATTGATTAGCTGAGTTGCCAATTTTCCAACAGTCATTTTGAATAACTCTACATAATAAAAAACATCTACAACAGTCATTTTGGATGTACAAATGTTGGGAAATGAGAGAAAGTAGGCAAATTTATTTACGTGAGAAAATAAGATAATTTGTTCACATCTTTTTTGCAAATTGTTCTCAGCCACACACTTAAAAAGTAATTAAAAAAAAAGTTCTTTTGTTTTTCCTTCTCCTTCTTCTAGGTTTTTCTCGCTTCTCTCTGGGCAGAAGCATAAAGAAATGGAAGCCCCGGATAGACTTGCTTACCCCCTGCTAGGGGACCCGTGGGGAATTTTGTATAAATAGACTAAGTAAAATGTGTTTTTAAGTAAATAAACCACCAAAAAAATAAATTGGGTAAATAATCCAACTTTCACGTCAGCATTCCACGTCATCAATTATGCTTTTAGGGTTTTCTTTCTCCTCCTCCTCTTCCATTTCGCGCCATTTTGTTCTCCCAGCCGCCTTCAATTTCTCCTCTCTTCTTCTCAAGTCATCGTCGTCGCATAACCTCATTAATATTATTATCTTGCCCATTCAACGTTTTTTTCTCATCCAAAACGAAGTTTGAAGAAGAGCTACTAAGTAAGTCTTTCATTTTCTATATCTCTCATGGTGTTTTTCGTTGTTGTTCATATGTTTTTAAGATGAGAATGTAGTTAAAAATCCATTAAAATAGTAATTTTACATGTTAAAAGACTAGTTTACATTGTCTGATATGATATAGATCCGCTGGGTTTAGAAAAAAAAGTTTGTTCTTGGTCGGTTCGTGGTCTGTTCTTAGTCTGTTCTTATAACATGGTCAGTTCGTGGTCTGTTCTTGGTTTGTTCTTATAACATGGTCGGTTCGTGGTCTGTTCTTATAACATGGTCGGTTTTTGGTCTGTTCTTGGTCTGTTCTTATAACGTGGTCGGTTCGTGGTCAGTTCTTGGTCTGTTCTTAGTCTGTTCTTATAACATGGTCGGTTCTTAGTCTGTTCTTGGTCTGTTCTCATAACATGGTCGGTTCGTGGTCTGTTCTGTTCTTGGTCTGTTCTTATTGCACTGTCAGTTTTTAGTCTGTTCTTATTGCACAATCGGTTCTTAGTCTGTTCTTGGTCTGTTCTTGGGTTGTTCTTATTATATGGTCTGTTCTTGGTATGTTCTCATTATATGGTATGTTCTTAGTCTAGTCGTGGGATATTTGGTTTGGTTTAATGACATATTATTATCTTGATTAAATTTTTACAGTTTTAAAATCTAAATAATGGCTCAGTGGAGGATTTTTTTTGACATTGGAGGAAAATGGGATGAGACTGAAAGTTGTTGGGTGTGGCATACAGATTGTAATTTAATTGGCATATATATGGATGAGAAGGATACTCTCAAAACCTTGGTTGATAAGATTTGTAGAAAATGCAGAATTGATGGACAAAAACATTCTTTGCAGCTATCATGGGTACCGAATTTGAAACAGAAATCGTTGCCCGTTGTAATAAAAGACAATGATGATTTGTTATTCTTCAGGGATATAGCCCACGAGGTACCGCTACACGTGATAGTGGATGGGAAGTTTATTAATCCCAAAGAACATATTGATGGAGTCAAAATTAGGAGAAATCCTTTGCATGATGATTTTTTTTATCGTGATTTTATGAGTAATGTAGCTACAGATGAGTTTTCGACTCATAATGATATTCCACCATAGTCACAACCACAACCAGAGTCACAGCCACAGTTAGAGCCACAACCGCTTACCATTTTAAATGAAGTAGAAGTTGTTGGTCCTTTAGTTTGTATGGACAAGACTAAGTTTGGATCATCTCATGGATCTACCTTCAGTGACGGATCTAGTTTAGAAGTTGGTCAGTACTTTACAAGTAAGAATGATTTGAAGGAAAAGCTGCATTTAATAGCTTTGAAAGGGAAGTTTGAGTTTCAAACAACAAAATCAAATAAAGACGTGCTTGTAGTAGAGTGTGTGGATCCGAAATGTGTGTGGCGTATCCGAGCCTGCAAACTGAGACTGTCGAACATGTTTGTAATCCGCAAGTATAATGGTGTTCACTCTTGCTCGTTAGAAAAGCGTTCAGCAAAGCACAGGCAAGCAACGTACTCCGTTATTGGAAGTTGCATGAAAAACCAATTTATAGGCGTGAAACAGGGTCCGGTTCCGAAATCAATTCAGAAATATACCCGTAACGAATTCGGGACGGACTTCAGTTATTATAAAGGATGGAAGGCTCGTGAGCATGCACTTCAACTCGTAAGAGGTACGGCCGAAGAAAGCTTCACTAAGCTCCCATCATACTTTCATATGGTGTCTCTTACTAATCACGACAACATTGCCAATATTCATTTTGATGAACAGAACCGTTTTATCTATCTTTTCCTAGCATATGGACCTTGTATATGAGGTTTTGGTTGCATGAGGAAAGTTATCAGTGTTGATGGAACGTGGTTGAAGGGAAAATTCAGAGGTACGTTGTTAGTTGCCACTGCACAGGATAGTGAACGTCATTGTTATCTAATCGCATGGGCCATTGTAGACTCAGAGAATGATGCATCCTGGACATGGTTCTTCTCGAACTTGAAGGTGATTATCACTGATTCTGAGGAATTAGTATTTATTTCTGATAGGAATCAAAGTATAAGTAATGCATTATCTACAGTTTATTCATTAGCACATCACGGTTATTGCACATGGCATGTGTCTCAAAACATCAAGAGTAATTTCAGATGTAGCAGTGTTCTGCCATTGTTCTTTAAAACCACTGAGGCCTACCGCATTGACGAGTTTTCTGTCTTGTTTGATGAGTTGTTTGTAAGATATCCCAGTGTTGCTAGATACCTACAGGAGGAAGTTTGTTTTGAAATGTGGTCTCGTGCTCATTTTAAAGGAAATCGATATAATATTATGACCACAAACATGTCTGAGTCAGTTAATGCAATGCTCAAAGATGTTCGAGATTACCCTGTCATTGCCCTCTTTAATTTTATACAAGCGAAGATGTCAGAGTGGTTTAATAACAGGCGGGTTGAAGCTTCTAAAACTAAAACATTATTAAAGCCAAGTGTGGAAAAAACTCTTCGTGAGAGGCACAACAAAGCGGGATTTCTAACGGCCACAAGACTTAATACTGTTGAGTTCCAAGTGACAGGTGGAGAGGCCACTGCAATTGTCAACATTGGAGCGAGGAGTTGCACTTGTCGTGTGTTCGACCTTGAGCAGATACCATGCGAGCATGCAATATCATGTTGTAGAGAAGCAGGAATATCTCTTCATGATTTATGCTCAAAATACTACAGGACAGAAGTTTGGGCTCTTGCGTATGCTGAGACAATCTATCCTGTGCCGGATACTTCGCAATGGGATATTCCGAATCACGTAAAGGAAGTTCGCCTCTTTTCCACCGCGAGTTGTACCAAAGAAGGGTAGGCCAAAGCAAAAACACATTCCCAGCATAGGTGAGTTCACACGAAGATAGAATCGATGTGCTAGGTGTGGGCAATATGGACACTATCAGAAGAAATGTAAGAACGCACCGATGTAAACATGACTTATAAATTTTAGTGTTAAATTTTGGTGTTACAATGTATTTACACTTATTATATTCAACATATTGTAAAATGTATTCAGCAGGTTATTATGGCTTTAGGGAAGCTTATATTTATGGGGAAATGCTGCCAAATTTTTACACAATAATATATATATATTTTTTAGAAAACTTCAAACCAGTCCCACAGAAGGTTGTGTACGAGGGTGGCACGGGCGCGCGCGCGCGAGGGGGCAAGG